ACCCTTTTCAATAGTATGATTTTATGTAGCACTTTATGTTGCTGCTCTGTGTTGCTATATATAGGGCCCAGAACAAGTGGAACCTACCCTTTTCAATAGTACGATTTTATGTAGCACTTTATGTTGCTGCTTTGTGTTGCTATATATAGGACCCAGAACAAGTGGAACCTACCCTTTTCAATAGTACGATTTTATGTAGCACTTTATGTTGCTATATATAGGGCCCAGAACAAGTGGAACCTACCCTTTTCAATAGTATGATTTTATGTAGCACTTTATGTTGCTGCTCTGTGTTGCTATATATAGGGCCCAGAACAAGTGGAACCTACCCTTTTCAATAGTACGATTTTATGTAGCACTTTATGTTGCTGCTCTGTGTTGCTATATATAGGGCCCAGAACAAGTGGAGCCCATGCTTTTCAGTAGTATGATTTTTATGAAAAGAGAGCTTCATCTTCACTCTTTGAATAAAAGAGAACACTAAGTTCCAGCTCATCCAATCAGATATCATTTTTTGGCACATACAATGAGCCTGTCCTTAAAACTTATTTATTCAAAATTTAATTACAAATACATATTTCCAATTGCCCGATGGCATTATAAGAAGAATGGACATTTAAACAATATACGAGAATATAGTTCTATATTAACTCATTGCTGACCAACTCCGAGATGTTTCATCTATGATGTCATAATCGTATCTGACCAACCCCAAGCTATCTCAGTGTGTTGTCTAATGATTGTCACACAGTCCATAATAATAATCTTACCAAATATTGTAGGGGTCACTGGAGGAATATGTTTAGGTGCAATTGAGATATATTGTCATTGGCTAATGGCATAAAACATGCCGCAGGGTGTGTTGATACAGCCCATTTTATGCTAATATGAAAACATGAAATTTTGCTCAATTTTGTCACTAGCAATCTTCGTTCACTCGGCTCTCGTCGCAGTGAAGACCGGAGCGTGCAAAGATAGTCCCCAGTAGAACACCCCCAAAATAGCTTTGTCCAGCAATGAGTTTTAAATACATGTAATAAACAATAATAGTAAACTATAAGCAACAAAGGGGAGGTGCAGTTGTATGGAAGGAATAGGGAAGGGTGTCATGGAGTAGAGATTTAACATATTCACTTTAGGAAGGTTCACATATTGGCAGAAATTCCAAAAAAGATATCAATTGAGGGCATTGAACTAATAATGACGGCTTTGCTTCCCTACGATTGGCTTATGATTCATAGCATATTTCTTATGCCTACTATCTTATCTTAGACTATAAACTAAACCTTTCATTGGTACAGATTTAGGCTAAGGTCAAGGTCAATACATCAACTCAAGGCTACATTTGAGGGATATCTAATTTGCTGTTTATGCAATTGGCACATTAATTTGCGATTTTACCGTATTTGTCTACTGTATACATGTATAGAAGTGAACCTGAAAATCGATTAAGTGACAAAAGACCCATGAAATCACCTATTATAAAATAAGAATTAATAAAAATTAAAGTAAAAAAGGAAACTATAGGTTGTGTTTCCACAGAGATCAATGGCAGAAGAAAACATAATGAAAGGCTATCATTGAGCTTTTAGACTGGTTGTCCACCATGGCCATTCCAGCTCCAGCTACTACAACTTATTGGCTAGCAAATGCTCTTTGCCATTCTATGAGCTTCCCTAGATGCATAATAATTATGATTATATTATTCAAGGTATAATATATAGGTGTCTTAACCTCAAATTTTGTGAAAATGTTATGTCGTTTTATTAAAATAACAAAAACCAAAAAATGCTAGAATCAAAAATATGATTGAGTTTGACTGAAGTTTTTCACGACAACAACTTCAAAATTCTAATGGTAATGTGCTGTTAGAATATGAATTTTTCCTCAAAATCATCAATTGATCAAAGTCTAAGTTGAAGTTTTCTGTACACCATACAAATGATTGAGTCATTCAGACATCACACTGGAGTTCATGCTTGGATCTTTCATCTCCGATACCAATTTATTTAATCCTTTGTAGTCATCAGCCTAAGAAAACAAAATGTTGATTTTGTAATGGTTAGAAGTTGCCGGATGCATTGATTGTTTTTCCAGACAGATATTGCTTTATTTGACTGACAGTTCATGCTTGTCACCATTTTTCATTTCATTTTCACATGTTCAGATTGATTACATTCGTGGCATATGATATTTGAGATTACTTGCGTGATAATCTAAAATATGATGGGATGTGATTTGCCATGTTGAAGTACACATTCACTTGCAAGAAAATAAATAAAAACTGTATCAATTCTACTATACTGTAGTTTATTTGAAATAGCAAACCAAGTTGCTTCAACATTTTCAAAGCAGGATATAAATACAAAATATGAATATAGATGTAGAATATTCACTGTGTTAACATTGACAGGTCATTAGTCATGCATGTATTTGTAGAACTCTTTTGGCTTGCTCTAATGACTGAAGTTTACCCATACACAGCAGGCCAATAAGAATAAATGAATTTATTATTATTTATTATATTTATTTTAATATTTTATATTATTATTTTTTATTTCACATTATGCAGTATATGATAGATCACTTGATTTGTTTTCTCATAATATAATGAATAACATCATGATGTTCACATCAATATGAGCACATGCAGAAATATGTTTTTCAGAGGTGAAAAAATAAATCTGATAAATGTTTCTCAGGTAACCATAATACACGTACATGTTTCAGACTCCTACATACACCTAGTATATAATACTAAAGCCATTTTGTTTGAAAACTCAGAGGCGTAGCCAGCTTTCAGTCAGGGGGAGTGTGATTGTCAAACGTTTTTTGGGTTTTCAGTCTATAGGGGGTTGCAATCGTGGCATAAGCGAGCCAAAAAGATATTTTAAGATTTGTTTTGAATTTCATAAAAATTGATGTAACTTCCTTCAAAATTGAGCTAGAAGCTTCAAATAAAAAGCATTTAAAGCTCTTTCCTTCTTCTATCTATTGGTTCTATATGTTATTGGTTATAGGGGACACTCCCCCTGGCTACACCTATGAAACCTTCTTGAAAATGATATATTATATGAAGTTCAAGCATTATGTGAAAGATTAACAAAATGTACTTTCATTTTTCAATTAAGTGAGTTTGAAAATCCTTAGAAAATAATCTAAAATATACTTGTTCCAAAAACTTAATGATAACAAATAATCTAGTATGCAAATCAATTGATTATGAAATGGCATGCGTGAAAGCTAGAATATACTGCCAATCAATAAATAAGAACTTATTTATTGAATAAACAGCACTGATCAATTATAAAATCCTTGACAAAGCTGAATATTCAACATGTCTGTTTGAAATTAATAATTACAGGGTGATCACTAAGTTCTGGGAATTTGTCTGTCATTTCATTATTTCTCAATCAATTTACTTGAAATTTTTTAGAAGATTTTGTATTAACAGCAGTCAAAATTTGTGATAAAAATAGTGTGTTATATTTACTTTTTACATTGGGTAGCAGTCATACATTTATGAAGCAGACCAAACAACCCATTGCCTAAATGCATGATAATGCAGGATAATATTAGCAACAGATAATTTTTAATATATAAATGCAAACGTTCTTCTTGTTTGTCAACTATACTAAATCAGATGCCTCAATATGATAATGCTAGACAAGACCTGTTCAAATATTGTCCGAATTTATCAGAGTCATAATTTCACTGTAACTCTGCCCAAAATGCATGGAGAGCCTGGATGGCTTTGTAAAGTTTGTTATTTTAACCAATCAGGCTGCATTTTCTATTCACTTCCAATTTTGCCTACCTATAGGGGGTTGAACACAAATTACACAACCAAAATTTTGGTCCATGGTGATGCATGTTAAATTGACAAACTTAAAAAATTTCTCTAATTTCAGCCCATGGAATGCTGGCATCATTTCAGAACATATGGTTCTGATTAAGGATTTCCCGTTGGCTGAATATCTGTTGAAAAAGACCCCTGTTTGCAATGTGTCATTTGGGAAAGTCATTGGATAATTATGTTAATTGCTATACATGGTAAAACAGAAATCTTCCAAAAACAATTAGATCGTCTGGTAGTGTTCCATATCTTTTTCATAGCCTGTTCAGAGGATTTGAGATATAAATGATGGAATTGATACCACAGCTACAGCAAACCACGACAAGTACTGTAAAGGATCAGCCTGTGATGATGGCAATATGGTATTCTCACAATAAATCAACTATTTGATATAATATACTAATATAATGTACACATTTGTTATAATCAATTTGATATATGGAATAAGGAATGATTTTGAAATAGTTTGTGGTGTTCATCGACATTTTAGCACAATCCCTCGTTCATTTGAATAAGATGTGGTAATACTTTAAGTACATAAGTATACCCTGTGTATACACTGCATACCCTTCACTTTATTTGGTTATCTCTACAAGACTCCTCAAATAATCTGAAGATATATTAATAGATACAAGATGAAAAACTCTGTATTGCGGTCATTACACAATCTCCTTTGCAACGGCTTAATAGCCGGATAGATATATATAAGAATATAACTGTTCAATTTTTAGGGTATATTGAAAAAGATTACAAGAGATAGGCTTTACTACAAAGACTACAAGTATCATCATAAAGAAGCCAATTTGGAAGTTTGGCCACAAATTATTTTCATTGGAGGGATACATTTATGTTTATCATACCAAGTGGATGGGTGGCACAAGCAATCTTGTCATCAGAGAGTGAGGAAAGCATTCATTCATTTTAATTAAATCTCATAGATACAAAAGCTGATAATGTTGCAAAGGCATTGTAAAAATATGATCTATTACTATGTACTTTTGCGGAATGGTGTTCACTGTACAAAGGAAGGTTTAAGTTGAGCACAATTTTTAACTATTTATGTCCAAGTTTATACTAAGATGATTTAGAGTAAAAGTATAATCCCTTACAAAATGTAGCTTAAGTAAATTCTCTCTGTTTTCAGCAATCATCATACAAGATACAAACAAGATGCCAAGAAGTACAATAATTCTACAACTGCTTTGTGGTACAGGATGAAGGATTTGGGAAATTTGAAGCAGTATTTTCATTTCAAGATATTGATTCCATTGAGTCAGGTAAGACATTGTTTATTTGATCTCAGTTATGAATATTGAATTACTTTTTTTGGATTTTGAAAGTGTTTTCTTCTGAGGAAATTGAAATAAATGGAGTGAATTATGTACCAATTTATCAACTTGAAATATGTTTTATATGCTTTTGTTTTTGGGAGTATTTGATAGATGTCACTGTTTGTTTAAGTACATGAAAACACCAAGTTTCACTTTGTGTTGGTATGGACCACTCACCCAAAAACATTCTTGTACCTTTATGTAGAGCTGGTCCATGTTATCCCATAGTACCTTAGGTATGTTTTTTACAACTTTGGCTAATCAGACAGTCATTAAATTGTATTATCTTGTGACATTTCCAAAACACAGGATATTTAGTCCTATTGCAATGATTTACTTATATTTTGTATTATTTCAAACTTAAACCTATATTTTAGCATAATTGAATTAAACACATGTACAGCATAATTTTTAGTGTCTTCGTGTTATTGTTAAAATTTACCTTTATTTTAGTATTACTGCTAATAGAGTTTACGACTAAGTTTGAAAATGTGACTGACACAATTAAACATTTTGACACTGAGTCCATCGTCCAATAGGCAAGTCATTGCTCCAAGTTTGTTGTTAAAGTGTGCGCCAAAGTTTAAAACTGCGCAGGCGCAGCGCTCTCGCTAACCTATATAAAGAGATTACAGGGTACAGGCTTCAGAGGTAAGCCAGGAAGGTGAACAACTATCGTCCCGTGTTGATTTCCCGTATAATCGTAACCAGGCAAGTTTCACCATTGGAATTGAAAATGACTATTAGATATACTTTGTAGATGTTTATATATGAAGGTATTAAGTGTATGCATCAATCAAATGGCTCATTTTGAACATATAAAAAGTATTTGTGTTTTGTTTCCAAGGGAATTGTATTCCCATATAGTACACACATAAATAGTGTACATTATGTTGTACTTGAATAGCCTGGCTTATATAATATTGAAGGACATGCTGATTGTACACACGAGTACATGCATGAAGGCCAAATATTGATATTGCTTGCATACCTAAAGTAAAAATAAACTCTTCTAATCCCCTAATGTAAACACGGCGGTATACGTAGCCCGATTTATCGGGGGCTTTAAAGTGTGCGCCAAAGTTTAAAACTGCGCAGGCGCACCGCTCTCGCTAAACTATATAAAGAGATTGCCCGGTACACGATTCAGAGGTAAGCCAGGAAGGCGAACGATCTTCGTCTCGTGATGATTTCCCATATAATCTTAACCAGGGAAGTTTCAACGTTGAAATTGAAAATTACTATTAGATATACTTTGTAGATGTTATTTATGAAGCTATTTAGTGTTTGCATCAATCAAATGGCTCATTTTGAACATATAAAACGTATTTGTGTTTTGTTTCCCAGGGAATTGTATTGTATGTAGTACACACATAAATAGTGTACATTATACTTGAATAGCCTGGTTTACATAATATTGAAGGGCATGCTGATTACATGCACACGAGTACATGAATGAAGGCCTAATATTGATATACGTAGCTTGCATACCTAAATAAAAAATAAACCCTTCTAATCCCCTAATGTAAACACGGCGGTATACGTAGCCCGATTAATCGGGGACTTTAAGACTGAAAAGTGATTGCTATGGGCACTTGGCTACCCTGCGTGCAGAGTCTAGTTAAACTACACTCTGCCTAGTAGAGACCATATTACAGTTTAGTAGCCCCGCCCACACGACGGGTACCGGTGACAGTTTGGGTAAATCACTTTTGAACTACGCGCTGACCTTTCACCAATCAGCTAGCTTGAAGAAACATACGCCAAATGCGTTCTAATTAAATATGCGCATGTCATTGGTCAATTCCGGGCTCAACGATGACGTCAGAAGGAATGACCATATAAAGAACATCGGTCAAATTTGGCCGACGAACACTGATTGGCGCGGTGAGTTCACAGGTTTATATTAGTTTGAAAGAGTGAAGACGAAGCTCTCTTTTAAGAAGTGAAGTCAAACGAATGCAAAGGGTAGCACTTGGCAGCAAGTCAGCTGTGAATTTCCAGCCCTGTTTGTTAACATTTGCCCAATATTCTTGATATGCCTGACCATGTCACAATCCTGAGGTCACAATAGGTTGTTTTGTCTTAAAATGGTTCATACAGTGTACTTATGGAATATTATTATTTATCATGGAATAGACAAATTTGTCCTGTGCTTTGCTTTCATTATGATTACGTACAGAGCCTACACTGTATCAACATATTATATTTATCACTGTGTTGTAAGTTTTAATCAGGTGTTTGACCATTCTGGTGCCTATATCAGACCTATTCTTTCAATAGAATTTTTTCAGTCCTTAGCTCTCTTAGACTGCCATCAAATATTCATTCAATTATTATAAGCTTTATTGGACACCTATTTATTAATTAGTTTTCTGTGCTAAATACAGTGTAGAAAGTAATTATAAAAACATCATACATTTATGGTTTGGTTCCTACATGTATGTGTGATTAATTCTGTGTTTGAAGTCTATCATTCTTTAGTGATCAGTTTATTGAGAGAAAGAGTGAAGCAATGAGATAGTAATCAAATGTGTTGAAGATATATTCCACAAATCAATACAAACATAGTTACAGACCCTACTACTTAAGTTACAACTGTTTTCCATTATTAGTACACTCCAAGTGCTCAATGAGTTTCCTTCTTGCATTACGATTGGTTCCGAAAAGATTTTGACAGGTTCTTACTTGATGGACATTTCTGAAAGCGCTTACTATTGAAGATTTTGTCGTATTGACTTTCATTTTGCTAAGTAAATATAAGATCATGTGGACCACATATGGTGATTTTTCCTGTAAATCAGTGGACCATAATGCAATTTTTTCTGTCAGACGGAAGTCATGGAGTCCCACATATAGTTACGACAAATATAAGTAAAAGAAGTAGGATAGACTCACTAATGATCTTAGGGACCTTTTATGGTGGTTTTCTCCATTTCTTGACGACCCATAATGCAATTCTTTAAAAGCAGACGTCAAGCATACTAGTCCCAAATGTGCCCATATGACTGCATAATTGCTGGTAGAACTATCTCAGTGGCTTTAATAAGCAATAGACATTTATCTTCATGTCCTATAATGCAATTGTTACACCATCTGACCTTTTAAAGGTCTCAAACCTGATTGAAATACTTAAATGTTTGACTATGTGGCTTTATCTTTGATTTGTAGGCGATTTGATCACATTTGCAGCTATTGCAATAAGAAATCATAATTTTAGTAAATCTCCCAAAAATGCATGTGATGTTCATGAGAATAGCTGAAAGATGATTATAATCATATGATTTAAATCTATATAATATACAACTGTGATAAGGGTAGGGGATAAACTCTAAAGGAAGGCTAAACACTGATGGACCTGCAAGTAATGTTTTAGCCACCTCACCTTCATAAAACAATTTAAGGTACACAGACTTTTGTGCAAATCATGTAAAAAATGGGTGTGAAAATCATACCACTCTGCCTAACATAGAAAGACTAATGTTATCTATATTAAGGCATCCGTATCTAATATCCATACACAACTGATTTAGTTAAGTTAAGAGGTTTCTTGCAGCTATATTTGTTTTTTCAAAGATATTAGATGTTCGCCCATATTGGATTCTTGTCTATTTTCCCAGTGCAGCGTGTATCATCAGTGGATGAAACAATTTCTCAAAATGTTATCATTTGATTTAGACTCATTTCGTTCAAAGCAACCTAAATTAGATTTCTGACATATACTGTTAGGCTTATTCCATTCCCGAAATCCATTTAGAGCTGCTGATATTTGACTTACTAAGATTGGATTTATTGAGCTATGCCATGAGTCACCTTGGCCTGGGCCGACACTTACAGGGACGATTTCTAAAACTATGCATATTCCCACAAGAACTTTCTTTTTTCTAACTTAGATATCCAAGAATCCACTTGAAATCTTTCGATTTTACTTAATATGCGCTTTCCTCCAGATAATCAACTTGCGGAATCGCTTAAATATCACTGGTTCAATTAATATATAAGGATTCATTGGTTTTAATCAATGGAGAACATAAGAAAGACATTATCGAAAATAAGAAGGAGCTATAAATGAATAACCACTTAAATACTACAATCAAGTTTACTGAGAATAATTTCCTGTCATTGATATTACTTGCTGTCTTTATGATATGTCTTCTGTCAAATAAATGTAGCCTAAATGGTACCCATTTATACCAAATAAGGTAGCATATTTTTAGTATAAAGCCTTGATCAAATGAGATATTCACTGTTTAATGCTGAATTTAGTATGAAACTTTAAGTGTATTGGATGGTTGAATTAGTTAGAATTATATAAGAATATAATTGGCAATTTTGAAATAATGTTTTTACCAACATAAAACTGATATGTAATTTCAAAATATGTAACAAAATTATAATTGAAGACATTAAAATTGATATAAAATAAGAGCTGGAATGGGGCAATCAAGTTTTATTCTTTATACATGTTAATCTGATGGAAAAAAGTTCATACAGATTATTGTAGCTTATACGGCTCATAATTTGAAACCTCTTCAAGGTATATAATTGAGAAAGAGTGCTATCTTGAGAAATCATGAAGAAAACAACTTTCTTTCTCATTGTAAAACAATTTAATATGAATCCTTGTCTCATCTAGAAATGGTCAAGACTTAGTAGAATGTTCATATACCTGTACTCAAGAAATATTAATATTAGAGTTTGAGTTTTTATAATGCAGACGTCAAAACATATTTTCTTAATTTGCTCCTCTTGGTGAAATGTGCTTTATGGGAGTTGGTATAAATGTATATACATAAATGTATATCCACAGAGATGCAGGTTTCTATAATTAATTAATTAAAGAATAACTCAGCTTCTATAACATGGCTTTGAAGGGATTGATAATACTCTATACACTTATAAATCATTAAATGTCTTTCACCAAGTTGGTAGAGCAGTAATTAGAT